AAATGAGCCCTAATCCCTTCCAAAGCCTTAGGACCAAGTCTAGAACACTTCCAACTTGAACTAAGGACCTTAAACTTCAAAATGGTGCAAAATACCATGAGTTTACGGCCGTAAACTCATGGAGAAATGGTCCTTGGGCCGTAAACCCTAGTTAGTGGTGCATAGGTGCCACCATTCCTTCCTAAGGCTTAGACTTGATCAAAGCACTTCTTTGTGACTTATAAGACCTCATACAACAACTTGGTACATAATACCATGAGTTTACGGCCGTAAACTCATGGGGAAGTTACCCCTTAGCCGTAAACTCATGTGTTAATTACCATGGGCCATAAACTCAAATGTAAAGCCATACAACCCTTAGGTGCAACCCTTTAGTACTTATAACACTTGAATCAAAGTGTTTTCCATGTTCTAGGGTGCCTATACTTGATAAATTAGTTGTTAAATCACTAATTAGATACATATATGTGTCTTTATATGTTAAATAGGATCAGTGTGTGTGCTCAAGTCTTCACTTGACACCTAGCATCCTATACCATCCGTTCATCCAAACCACTCACTGCAGGTGAGTTCATACCCCTTAATCAACCTTTTAAATGATCTTAAATGCTTTTATGGGGGGAATACAAGTTGAATTATTATAGTTATTATATCAATCACATGTGATTAATGACTACCAAACAAATGGATTTTCTTACCTTTCAAACTGTTTTATCAAACAAACTACTTCAAATCGTTTTACAAACACTTTTTCATGTTAAATACTTTTGTTAAACTCTTTTAAACTTATATTTTGTCAAATGTGTATCTATGTATATATAGTTATATAAGTAAGATTGAAAGGACTTAGGACTGATAGCTCACCTTACTTCCTGTTCCTCGTTTGGTTGTGGTCTTAGGGCATCGGTTGTTTGTCCGAAGGTCGTTTGAATCTTAGTTATATATTATGTATATGTATATAGATATAAAAGTTCCTTCAATCTGTTCAAATACCTTTGGGTAGCAAGGGTATACAATCATGTTCATTTATACAAACAACATTGCTAGTAAACTATAATAAGTATAGTTTAGGAAGTTACTAATACTATTACAAGAACAATGAAACATACAAAGAATCTGTTCAAATACCTTTGGGTAGCAAGGGTATACAATCATGTTCATTTATACAAACAACATTACTAGTAAACTATAATAGGTATAGTTTAGGAAGTTACTAATACTATTACAAGAACAATGAAACATACAAAGAATCTGTTCAAATACCTTTGGGTAGCAAGGGTATACAATCATGTTCATTTATACAAACAACATTACTAGTAAACTATAATAGGTATAGTTTAGGAAGTTACTAATACTATTACAAGAACAACGAAACATACAAAGAGTCAGTTCATACTTGAGTCAATAACATACAGATAGAGAATACTATGATAACATATAGATAGAACATACATACTAGACAGAGAGATCATACAATACAGCTAGTACATACATTACATATACAAATATACAATAATATAAATGTGGACCATCGTTCGGGGCATGGCATCACCTGTCATGGCCCGATTTGTAGCCAGAATCTCCTAAAAGGAGAGCGTGAATTTGCATATAGATCTATACTGGATTGACTATCCTACACCTTGATGTTCGCTACAGTGGGACTTGCAAGTCTACGGGTGCCAAATGTCATTTCTTCCGACGTCTTTCATCGTCGTGTTATTAGTCGATAGTATGGTACAACCAGGTCACATCATACCTTAAATATAAATTGGTTTAAGGTAGAAAGTACAGCAGTAGTTACTATAATACAACACTACAGTACTTTATTATTTCCCCATTGCATTCACATGTGATCTTTTCACATAAAAGGTAATGTAAAACTATATTTTTGGTTAATGATAGTCACACTTGGGAAAATATACACTCTTACAAGAAACAAACACACGTTTCATTTGATGCCTTGGTAGAAGGCTACGTTTAGTAGAAAATATAGGATTTTCTAGGAGATACAAACATTTACAAACATTTACAAACATCTACAAACTTACATCAAGTACTTACAAACATCTTCATACAAACAATGACACTAAAATACTTATGGACTCACCAACTTTAAATTTGATCAACTCTTTCAAAATAACTTGTATTCTCAGGTCATTAGTAGACAGGTACCGATGCCAGGTTTTTGAGAAGATGGAGCTCGTTCAAGACTCATCTCTTATTTTTTATTTACATTTTTTGGTGTCTTATAAACTTCACAGAACACATTTGTATGAAATTATATTATTAATGCAATGGATGATGTTGTTTCTTGTTTACTACTATGCTTTGTTGTGATACTGTACATGACGTTCTCCACCCCCGAACGATTCCGCCGTTCCGGTTTTGGGGTGTGACAATATATAAAAAGAAAAAAAAGTTAGAGACTAAAATTGTAATATTTCAAATGGTCCTTGTGTAAAATTTCACAAATGGTCCTTAAGCAAGTTTGACAAAATTACAGAAATAGTTCTTATCCAAAATTCTTTCAACTTAACGGATTAATCTAACGGACATTAACGGTAAGGACCATTTGTGTGCAAGGTTTGCTCCGTAAGGACCATCTCAGGGGAAAAAAGTTTTGTAAAGACCATTTCAGGGAAAAACTTTAAAGCTAAAGGACCATTTGAGTAATTTACTCGCATAATTAACAAGTCTCTTCCATAGAAAACAGTTTTTCACAATCCACACGGGTTCGAATTTTTAAAGTCTCATGGTGATATAAAAAATGTGTAAGCATTGGATCGATGACAAAGGATTTCGGAAAAAAAATTGAATTTATAACATTTTATTCAGGCTATGTTTGACATATTAAAAAAAAATAATAATAATAATAATAATAATAAACAGTAGTTGTTATATATAAAAGTCTAGCTGATAGCTGAAAAGTTAGCTGATAAAAAATAATATTTGGTAAAATTAGCTGAAAAGCTAGTTGAAATATATAAAATGACATAAAAAGGTATTTAAAAGAATGTGTTACGATAAGTGATTAATAGGTATATTTGGAAAATATATATATATATAAAAAAATAAAAAAAATAAAAAAAAAACTCTTAAAAAGCTAGTCTAAGTAACTTTTTAAAAAACTAGTTTATAAGCTATTTTTTGGTTTGCCAAATATAACAACTTAAAAAAACTCAAAAAAATAAATTAGCTTATCAGCTAGCTGTGGCGTGCTAAATACAGCTCAGTCTTATTTTTGTTCATATATGAGAAATTTTTTATATTTACTAATTATGTTTCATTTATTGTTTAAAGGTATAAAAGAATCATATGGACTAATAAATGTTATGAGCTAACTTACGTTGTAAGAGTTGGGCTAGAGAGTGGGCTAAGGTGATATGACGATTGGATTGATGCTAAGAGAGGACCATTGAACAAAGAAATTTGTTCTCAAGAACTGATGTTGCATATTTTTTAAACTTGTTTGCGATTTTTTCAATATTTTTCTCCTGTTAAAAAAATGAACTTTGTTGCTTGAAGGAATCCAAATTTTACTCAACTAAAAGCAAAAATAATCAAATAAACTTTGGACTTTTCCCAAAAACATATCCAAATTTTACAAAACTTATGATTGAAAGAAATTCATTTACTAGTTCACTATGATAATATACAAATGAAATATTGAATACGTGATGAGATAGAACCAGGTCCACGTGTAGATGATAAACACTCCCATTCAGTTAAAAGAATACATGTAATATCAGAAAATGAGTTATGATATTAGAAAATGCATAAACATCAGCATCTAATTTCAAAAAATACATAAACATTAGCATCTAATTTCAAAAACTACATAACAAATACCTCCTCATTGGAACACATATGACCTAAGAATTCTTGCTATTCCTAATTTTTTCAGGTAACTTTTCTTAACAAATCGTCAAATTCCCATTACAGGTTTCAATGAAGAAATTATGTGTTTTTAGATTATTTAGGAGTTTCTTGAGCATCAAAGTCAAAAATTCTACTCAAAATTAAGTTATTCTTTGTGTGATTTTAATCTAAAATATCAGGTAGCTTTCTTTGTGTGCATGCAGAAAAACAGTGAAGGATTTCTTGCCATCGTCCCAAAAATTTTAGGTAAACTTTGATTTCAATTGATTGTGTATACATATGTTGGTTATTATTATCTTTTAAGTAGTAGTAGTTTGATGTTGATTAATAAGGTTCTAAGCAAAATTCTGACCTAAATTTATTTGTGCCTCTAATTTGATACATAAATACAAAATAAAACACATTACACTATTAAGGGAGGAGGGAGTCGTTCCCACTGAACCCACTGTCACATCAACTTTTCTTTTTTATTTTTCTTCATCTTTCTCAACTCACAACACACGGAAATTCTATCTTTCTCAACCCACTCAATTAAAAAAAATACTAAACAACTAAGGTACAAGTCTTAAAACACATGGTACAAGAGAAAATGAGAGAGAGAAAGTAGAGAGAGAGGATGAAGTGGGTTAGTGAAACCAATTAAACAATCCACTGAAGAGGGAGTGGTACTGACGATAACTCTATTGCTAATTAAGATTTTACCTTAGTTGTTTAGTATTTTTTTTAATTGAGTAGGTTGAGTGAGTTGAGAAAGATAGGATTTCTATGTATTGTGGATTGAGAAAGATGAAGAAAAATCAAAGAGAAAAGTTGATGTGGCAGTGGGTTCAGTGGGAACGACTCCCTCCTCCCTAATGGACACCATATTCTGATCCGTTATGCAAAAAGTAATTTTTGCTCCGTTCGTATGTATTGATTTCTTTATATAGCATCCTACTTTTCTTCTTCTAATTAAAACATTCCATTTGAAAATTTCATATTATAATAATATCGTATAAACATAAAGCAATTTAAAAAAAAATCAAAATATAACGACTCAACAAGAAATGAAAAGGAAATTGTAAATATGTTTGCTATATTTCAATAGACTTTTCGAAATACAATACCTTAACAAGATAAAACTCGAAAGTAGAATGTTATATATAATATACAAATATAAACCCTAAAATGAAACGGAGACGTCCAAGAAAATAAAGAATAAAAAACTGAGACCAAAAAACATGTCCTAATCTTCGTAAAGATCATCTTATCATCTAAATATTATCCAATAATTTCTGTGATCAACCCTTCATGACCTTCGAATAAACAAACAAATCATTTAGAAACGTCGTCCTGCGACTCTACCACAAAGAAGAGCATTCGAAGGAATATCATATTCGTTCGCAAGACTCTTAACTGGATTATAAACTCTCAAGTAGAATTGTTGACCAAGATATTGTCGTTCCCACATCGAAGATCTTAGGTTCCACATTCCTTGGTTGTCCAATGAAACATAAATTGCACTCCATGAGTTAGGGTATACTTGCACCGTGTGTCGTGTAAGAGCATCCACAAGATTGTAACTTTTTCGGCTCTCTTGACTCCATTGCCCGGACCCATATCTACAATATCATAACTTAATCTGGTAAGCTATATGTGGATGTTTCCTTTTGACTTAATACACAGACAGATCATCAGGAAAATAAGACTTTTCCATTTTGGGTATTTGTAAACATCATTAATCCAGACAACACATATAATAAAAAAAAAAAAAGAGTCTTACCCTACGGGCCAAAAGTCATAGCCATCAAGATGCCACGACTGCACGATTTTCTCGTTGTTTTGGAAGACGATTTCAAGAAAGTCATGAAGTGCGGCCCCCATAACAGCGGTGGCAACGGTCGCCGCACCGCTATTTTGGGGACATTTGAATGGTGTTCATAGAATAAACACCGGGAATATTGAAGTAATCCGCAAGCTTCAATGGGGTGTCTGCATTAATGTAAGACACCCCATTGACAGCGTATCGGATCTTTCCATTTATTAGGTTTGCAGAGTTGCTCAACACGATCGTCCTCGTGGGCGTGATTGTTCCATAATGGAATGAACCTTGTGGATTCGGCCTTGCTGCGTTCGATGTAAGGTTCCATCTAAACAAAAAAATAGGAATTAGAATCGGAATCGGAATCGGAAACGGAATCGGAAACGGAATCGGAATCGGAAAGTTATTATACCTGATTGTTCTAGCTTGTTGCATTGACCAGTGAACTTGGTAGGTTGGGCCAGCGGGAATGGGACCAGAGACGGGTGTTTGGGAATTGGAATAGTGTAATACCGAAACCGAAGTAAGAATTTTTCTTGTAAACCGTGTTGAAGCAACAACATAGTAATCTTTTGGAGTTTGATCTAATGTAACTAGAACCGAAATCGATTGACCAACATGGACATCAAGTGAATCGTACATGTTTTGAACCACATTTGACCCTTCAACTTCGACAAGTTTCATTTTATGTCCTTGAATCCTAAAGTTGAAGGAAGTCGATAAACCCATATTCGAGATTCTAAACATGTATGTTTGACCTGAAAAAAGAAACAAGAAATAGCAACATAGTTTAGACCATTGGCTTTGAAAGTCAAACAAACGCATTACCATTTTTCAACTAAATTTTTATTTTTTAACGATATGCATGTTGTTCCATAATCGCAAAAGATAAATGTTTGGCACAAAAATTAATGAAAGTAATTTGCTATTTCTTGCATTTAACAAAAATGTATTCTTTTATGGAGCAAAATGTCGAAAATGACCTTGATCACCACTAAAGGTGGTTCGTGTTTGTCCATTTACAAGAATGCCATCTGGGAAAGGAAGCGATCTTCCTGAATCAAGATATTGTTGTAACCCCTGAAACAATACAACACGTTTTCAATACTAAGACATGCATTCAATCAAGAACGAAAATCATTTATATCATGACAAAAAACAGTTGAATCTTTTTTCTATAGCTTTTGACTTTTTAAGAGTAAAAAATAATGATTTTAATCCCCAAAGTCACCAAAACCCGTTTAGGTTTTAGTGAAAATTATAAATACCCAGAATAATCTGTAACAAAAGCAACTCATTTACTATCTTTTTGACTAAAATACCTAAAAGTAGTAAAGTAAAATTTAAAATTAAAGATTTCAAGATTTGAATTTTGACTTTATCCTCACCTTATGGTTGGATTTGTACCAATCACCGATGAGTAAATTAAAATCACCGGCGGGAATTGCATATGGAACCGGAATACGAGGTCGAGCATAAACATTAATCGCTCCAAAACCACCGGCGGCTTTGTGCATTCCGGTCGACGGGAAGTATGTGTAGCCTCCGATTTGATCTTTTGGTTGGAATTTGTATGTGAAATTGGAATTCGGTGGAATCGGACAATTTGTGCCCAAAACCCCATCTTGCCATGAATTCTTTCTTTGTTTAATTCCATTCCTAAAAAGATACAACATTTATTCAATTATATGATTCATGATTCCAACCACAAAAGGGGTAAGTTCTAATTTTTCAACTCATAATGTTAAATTTGTCAAATTAGGCTAGTGGTTTTTATTTCAAAATACGGAAAATAACAAAAAAATAGCCACTGAATAAGTGATGCTTAACAAAAAGAATGAAATCGATTCAGTAATTGATTGTTTGTGAATTACAAAATTGCTTTATGAATAATATCCAACATCAAAGACCTTAATTGCATAATTTTCGTAATTGTATAATTGATGAATTTGTTAAGCATTACATCATACATGATTATACTTTTGTGACTGTTCCATTTTTTCTTCGTAATATCATGTTAAATGCATTTGGCAGATGTGAAATGACAAAAAAGACTCACCATGTCAAGAGGAAAGGTTGGTCTAGATTATTGATGAGATTGAGGATAATATTGTCATTTGTGACAACATCAAGCTTAGGACCAGGAAATTGACCATTTATTAAGATAATCTACAAAACAAACGTCAAACATTAATTAGCAAAATTAAGAGTAAATTTCACTAAATTAAAACTAAAAAAAAAAAACAAAAGTAAGAAACAATTAGAGGCTTAAACAATCAAGAACCTGTTGAGGAACACCAAGAGGAGACGCAGTTCCATAAGTAACAGTCCAAGTGAAGTACTTATAAGGGTCCTCTGCTTTCACCATGGAAGAAGAGCTCAAAATACCCAAAATCAAAATCGTCAAATGGAGCAGCATTTTCTTCTCCATTTCACCGGGATCAACTAAAATCCCTGCAAATTTTCAAACTTTTTTTCGTTAAATTTGTTTTTTGCAACTGGGCGTCATCAATACCTCTAGAAAGAACACAAAATGTTAAGAAAAAACAGAATACAAAAGAACATCGACAAAAATGAACAAAAACAGAGCATTCTGCAGGAAAATACCCTAGTGATGTGAAAGGGAAATGGGCACATACCAGATATGAATAAAGAGCAATTGGTTAGAATGTGAATGAACAGGACAAAATGAAAGAACAAATGTGAATTATCGCTATCAAAACCAAACTGGAGGCATCTATATATAGATAAAGATTGCAATTTGCAAATATTCTACTGATAAACAAAAGGGTTACCTGGTGTATGATGGAAAGGGTAAATCCCAAAAAGGAAAAGATGACAGCTTTCGAAACTCGGCGCATTTCACGCGGTTTCTAGTAATCATTGATTTTGTTTGATAATTGAAGATGGCCATTCTTGTCTGTAAATCTATGATTATGAATGGAAGCTTGTTTAGATTGTTTTTATTCGATGGATTTATGTATTTTGTTTTTAATTTGATACCCTTGATGTTTGGATATTAACACTAATACCCCTTTATTGTTGTTGCTATCAGCATTCTTTGCTTGTGAACAAACATATATATGAAAAATTACATTCGGTTTTGTTAGGTTTAGTGTGATTTGGGTTTTAACATCTTTTAATTAAGTATATTCGGTTTTTGTAGATTTAGTTTTATTCGGTTTTTTTATATTTTAAATTAATTATAACATAACAAAATAAAGCTCAATTTAATTGATTTTGAGATATTCATGATTGTCAAAATCGCGATCCTGGTCGTAGGATCGTACGATCCTACGATCCTAAGTATGAAAAACGATCTGAATCGTAAAAGGATCGTATTTGAGGTAGGATCGCAGGTAGGATCGTAAGATCGTAGGATCGAGATCCGATCCGATCCTACCTTCCCTTGATTTTTTTTTTTTTTTTTTTGCAAATGAATTTTTTTTTTACCATTTTATGTCTTTTACCCTTTACCAACTTACTGTTTATCGTTTTATATTGTGACTTATGACTAATATTTTGAAGTTTTTATAACTTTTGAACAAAAAATTGAATGTTTGAAATATTTTTCATAATTAAAAATTATAAATTAAAATTATATTTTATTTTGTGGGATCTTAGGATCCCGATCCCGATCTTGACAACCTTAGTTGATATTAAATCCTTATGATTTTTTGCTTACATTCGTTTTTATTACATTTTGCTTTATTCGGGTTTTTAACATTTTAATCGACTATAAGGAAACAAAATAAGGTTTAGTTTAATCAATTTTGGGGTATTAACATTAATATCCTTATGGATTTTAATATCGACATTATTTGCTTGTGCTTGTGAACAAACAAATAGTGACAACTACATTCAGTTTCATCTCATCGGGTGTTGTTTATTTGGGGTTTTAACATTTTCAAATTGATTATAACCGAACAAAAGAAGGTTCAATCAATATTGGGATATTAACATTAATACCCTTATGGTTTTTGCTATCAACAGTATTTGCTTGTTATCAAACATGTATTGACCACTACATTCAATTCTATGAGGTTTTGTTTTATTCGGTTTTTGACCATGTTTAGATTCACTATAACCAAACAAATAAGGTTTAGTTTAATCGGTTTGAGATGTTAACATTAGTACCCTTATAGTGTTTGCACTCTTTGCTCGCAAACAAACATGTAGTTACAACTACATTCGGTTTTATTTTTAATATTTTTAAAGTCATCATAACCAAAAATATAAGGTTTGATTTAAATGATTTAGGTTTGTTCGGTTAACCTCTTAAACCATATAAAATTTAACTATTAGTTTTTTTTTCTTTGAATATAAAGGACATGAAATAAATCAAGAAGTGCATCAATTGGAACATGAGTTGAGTATTAAAAACACATCTTTAATATTTGAAAAGTCGTAAGGTGAGGTTCGACACATGTTTTACGAGTGGAATGTTTTACCATTAAACAACTTACAAAATAAATTACATACCAATTTTCACATCCTACAATATATTTTTACATTAGATAATGATAATTAAAAATTCATGTGGCTATTAAAGTAAGATATAAAAATATTAATCTAATTTTTAATTGGTTAATTTGAACCAAATTATTCAAAAATCATATAACTCAAATCGGATGGCTCATTCAGTTTGACTTTCAATCTAGTAGAACACTCCTAGTGACATGTCCAACATTTTAATACTATATAAACATTAAGTTATTAAGTTACTTTTTTTTTATATGTAGTTTGGTATGAAGTCAAATTTTGTTTTAGTGATTAGATCATTTTTAGTCATTGGAATTTTCTGTTTGTTTTATTTTAATCACTATGTATTGTTTAAATTTTTATTAGTCATTGAATTTTTATTTTTTATTTTAGTCGTTCTAAACGGTGATAGTCGATGTATGCAATGTGGCTGCTACATCAATATGGAACGACGTCGTCGAAGTTATAATAAACTTTTTATGTGTTTAATTTTAGTTATTACATTTTGTTTAATCTAACATTAGTCATTGTATTTGTTTAAAAGTTTCACTTTAGTCACTCTACCTTTTTATTATCATTTTTATTAAAAAAAAGGATATTTTTTTCTTTTCTCCACAACTAAACTTATTACATCAATTATTTTAGAATAAATTATATAAATGGTCATGCGATTTAAAATAGCATACACATTTAGTCCTTAACTTTTTTAACTTGGATGGTCTCCATGGATTTCAAAAGACTAGTTTTCCCTCCTCCACTACATCGCTTTTGTCGTTGGAAAAAACTTATCCAATCACCATCGATAACTAGTTTCATTTTGGTCTCCTCCACCCTTTGTAATTTGATATCAAGAGCATTAAGGTTATATTGATTTTTTCCTTATATGTATTTTGGATTTCAAGACCTCAAATGAAGTTCTTGATAATAATCACTTACCATATAATTAAGACTGCCATCAAACCTGCTACCTATATTTTCTTTCGTCTAACTTGTTTATGTTTTTAGTTGCTTTATCAGGGGCGGACGTAAAATTCCAAAATAGGTATGACATGGGGAAAAATAATACTGACACAATAGTAGAATTCAAAAAAAAATTCACTTCGTACAGACAAGTTAGATGTTGTCAGCTCCACTACGTGTACATGACAAAACTGCCATTGTGCTTTGTGTAAAAACATCGACTTTGTGCATTGAAGGAGGACTGATCCCCTTGAATTAAGATCCTAGAAGAAGACATAGACATGGCGGTGGTTTTGCACATATTTCCGTAGGATATCATGGCAAAAAGGAATATTGTCATCTCATTAGGTTATGAGTTATTATTGGTTATAGTGATTAAAATAAAAGTTTTAAATAAGTTTACTAACTAATGGTAGTTTAAACAAAGTGTAATGACTAAAATAAAACAACTAGAAAAATTCAATGACTAATTATAATTTTGATAATGTCGTTTCATGTTTGATGTCAACAGCCACGTCATTTACATCGATTGGAGCGACTAAAATGAAAATAAATAAATTCATTGACTAATAATAGCTTAAACAAAATATAATAACTACAATAAAACATTTAGAAAAGTTTGATAACTAAAAATAACCTATACCCTTGGTTTTACATTTAACTGGATAGATTATAAAATCTTGAGGGGCTTTAGTGTTAACAAATAAACTTAAGGAATATATATGTGGTTTATATAAAACAGAGGAGGAAATTGCATGTTGGTTATATTCCATAGTTTACGCCACCGTGTCATTGCTGTCATGATCCTTTCCAATGCTCAAATTGAATTGCGGGTCCTCTGACATTTCAAGTCACAAAGTGGATAAAGGTTTGGTCGGTTAAAATGGTAAAAAGACCCAAACACATTAATCAATCGATTTGCAATTTAAATGACGAAAGTAAGTTTATGTATTATATAGTTTTGTATTTTTGTAGTTTTAATTTATTAATTGATATCGTTAGAAACGCAAGATTTTCTTAGCATTCATCAAAGCTAAATTATTCATCCACTTTTAGCCTTTCTTAATTTTTCAACTGGTTTTCTCTTTTTTCGTTTTCGACTACCATATATAATAGGTATGAGATCCGTATACTACATTGATTTATTAAAACAAAATTATATATTAGACGTAAACATTAATTGTATTTTGAAGTAAAATTTTGAAATAAATAAAAACGAAATAATGAATAAGTAATAATTCAACATATACTGATAAAAAAAAACAATTAACGTATTTTAAATAATTGAGCTAAATATTAAGTTGTTTTAATTAAGCATTTTTAATGTAAATTTTCGAAATAAATATAATAAAAACATGAATAAGTGGCTAATTAAATCTATACCGATAAAAAAACCATTCACATATTGTAAATAATTATTTTGAATCAAAAATTTCAAAAAAGAACTTCCTTAAATACAACATTAGATGTTATATTGTTAAGTTTATCGTCATTGTTTAAAATTAATATGTTTAATCCATCTATGCTTTTAACCTTATAAAATTTAATATACAACTGCCCATGAATGAATATTGGTTGTCTTAAAAGCAACCCCCACATTCGATAGCGACTGTTATTGACTATTATTTATTATTATCGCAAAATATACAGCCAATGGAAATTGTATTCTTTGAAATGTGAAAGGAATCATTTTATTCGAAGGCGTCAAAGACATTAATGAAATAAATGTTCGGTTTCATATATTACTTTCGAGAATCATCTTTGCTTCTATAACACGCTTATCAATGTTATAACCCGTAGCCTCGTTATTTTTTGTTCATGAATATTTTTTTTATGTTTCGACGTAACTTATGTCAATGCAATCATCGAAACGTTTATAAAAAGCACGGAACAAAAAAAAACATATATATAAAAATAAGCATGAAATCATAATATATATATATATATATATATATATATATGTCGAAACCTAGACGGACTCAAATTTATATCATCATTATCATACATACTTATAAAGCTACATTTTTTCTTGAATCTCATGCATTTGAAACCCCCTTTTTTAACTTTCTTTCACCAAATCCATTTGAAACTCCCATGACTTTTCAATTTCTTTACAATAATATTATAAATAAGTTAAATAATGTTCTATAAACAAGAAAGGGTGTTTTATTACAATCTCTTCATCCCACATCGATGGTGAGAGTAAACAAGAGAATGTTTCCTCTTCTATAAATAGGAAAGGTTGTGAAATGTTTCAAATGGACCAAACCATGAGAACTTCCTCATGCCTACCTTTGTAGGATTTTGAAGGTATTATTTGGTGAGATTATCTATATTGGCAAGTGTCCAGTTAACTTTTAGAATTCCAAAAATGGTTTTGAACCGAATTTTTTCAGGTTTAAACCGTGTTTCAGTTAGAAAAAAAATTATGTAGTTGGGTATATTGAGTTGAACCGGAGCTGGATCAATTTG